TGCCGCTCCCGCGTTGTCATGGCGACGCGAGCGGCCGTTGGCGGCGGCCGTTGGCGCCGCCCGCCATACTACAGGTCCCGGCAGCCTCCGCGCCGCGCCGTGACTCGGCGCGGGCGACGGCGGCGCCAGCCGGGATGGAGTGAGGGGGCGAGCGGCGGAGCGAGCGCAGCCCGGCCAGCCCCGGCCCCCCTCCCGTCTCCTCCCCGGCCCGGGCCTATGCGGCCCCCCAGAGACCATGGGATCCCGGATCAAGTGAGTGCCCGCCGGCGCCTCCAGGCCCCGGGGAGGGCTCCGCAGAGAGGGGACTTCCCCGGCCTCCCTGCGGCGCGGGGCGGAGGCCGCGCGGCCGGGCCGGCCCAGCCTGCGGGCCTCGGCGCAGGGCGAGGCAGCGGGGCGAAGGGAGGCGGCGGAGCGGCCTCCCCCGCTCAGGCCGCCTGGCAGCCCGCGGAGCCGGGAGGCGGCGGGGCCGAGGCCTCCCACCGTGGAGCCCATCTCAAGGGGGGCCGGGGGCCGCCCGCCGCCCCTGCCCTGAGCAGGAGATGTCGCCTCCCGCCCTCGTACCCCGTGCTCCCCTCTGTCCCCCTCCCTGGTCTGTGGCCGTGTGGGGGGCCTGGCGGGGAGGGCAGCAGCCTTGGGGAGGATGGAGTTGCTGGGCTGGGCGCCACTGCCAGCACCATCTGCTGCTGTTCTGGGAGTGCCATAGGGTGGAGAGAGCTTAAAGCCTTGCTGCTTCTAGCTCTGATGTGTTGCAAGTGCGTTAGCAAGGGGATTTGGGGGAGGGTGACAAGTGGTGGAAAGGATTAATATCTTCCACCTGTAGCTCCTTGACCAATGTGGKTTTTTTTTTTTTTTTTKTTTAAGTTYTCATAAAACTGGAGTTGGTTTCTTGGTAAGCCCCACTGGTGTGTTTGGTAGAGGTTTAATAAAACTGTCACTGACAAGAGTGCTGCCATGTCTGTGAGTGGAAGACGTGCAGATAGAATGGAGGTATCCAGTTAGCTTGCRTTTTGTTGAACAGTTTCTGTAGGTGCTGTTGAGCAATGGCTTTTCCTTCTGTAATGCACCGTTCTTCAAGATTGCCTAGGGTTTTAACTTTTCTCCTCTTTTGTTTAGCTTGAATATGAGGCTGGAGCAAACATCGTTTTCAGTGCTGACATATGTTCGTGTTCCCAAGATTGTATGTTGGATAGATAAATATACTGTAGTCTTAGAAGAAAGTGTTGTTAATGAACATTCGTAATGATAATGCTGAGGTGATTTGTTAGTTACAGAAAGCAATGTGAAGTTTTTCTTTTTTGTACTTTTGGAGTATGTTTTTTGCTGTTGCTACAAAAGCTCAAAGTCTGAGAACTACTGAAACTTTCAGCTTGCATTCAAAGTACAGAATAGAAGCTGAAGCTGTCAGCATTTTGACAACAGTTTGAAGGTTATGTCTGTAACCTGCCGTTCCAGATCTGGGAGCTGTCAGTCTTGTTTAGGTCACTTCAAAATTGTGGATCAAAATGATTTCTAACAACAACATTATCTTAAACCTCTTAAAAGGCTCAAGTTGATATGAACTTTTTTACTTTTTTTTTTTTTTTTTTAAAGGCAAATGCAGGTTGTAGATTTGGGATGTGCACAAAATGAACTGTCTTTTTATTGGAAGTTTGTTAGTTTGACCTTTAGTGGCTTTAACAGAAGACAAACAGTTTGCAGTTTGCGGAATATGAGTGAAATAGCTCAGATGAGATGCTTCAGCTAAAACCCTTMTTGATATGGAAGATGTGGCAGTTTAAAAAATTTTTTTTTAGAATCCATGGATATAAAGTCATTTTCTGTGCAAGGTCTGTTTCAGTGTGAGTTTATCGGCTTTCAGGACAACTTGCAAAGCCTATGTCTTTCTCTGTCACTTGTAAAAAAAAAACAGAGGTGATAATTCCATATAAACATTACTTGTCATTTCTCTTGGATTTTGTGAGGAAGTGTTTTGTCTGCTGTGTGATTAAGTAACTTTGCCTTGAGGGACAATTGATAAATTACCTTTTTTCCAGCTCTTACAGAACTTAACAGCAAACTATTGGGATTCAGCAGTAAAGGAAGTAAGTGAATATGTGGGTATTGAACTGATCCAAAGCTGACAAGCATTTTAAATRTCTGCAGTATGTTTTGTTAGGCTGACCTAAAGAAGAGTAAGGCAGTAAGTAGCTTCCTTATGAAGGAGGAGGGATGTGTGGATGAGAAAACTGTTTTACAATTGGACGTAATGAAGCATGCCTCTTCTAGTGGGACTGCCAGTAGGTGTAGTAGTCAGTGGAAAAAAAAAAAAAAAAAGAGAATTTGAGTCTCTTGGTTCTTGCTATAGACTGATAATTATAGAAGATATTAAACTCCCTGGCACATAACGATGTGCACACATTGCAATATGCTCTGCATGAAACCTGGACATTTGTGTCAGCAATGTTTTTGATGGATGAATAGTAATGAGTCATGACTCCTTAGAGGAAATTATCAGTAGCTGTATCAGGYTGATGTGAAAGGATCAGCAATACTGAAAGCTTTTAGTTTGTATATAGCTGCAGGCCAAAACCGGGTAAGTTGAGTGTTGGGTTACTTTGCTATGGTTAAGCTTCTTGTCAGAGCACGATACTCTGTGTTTGTGCAAGACTTTCTGTGCCAGAGAGGTAACCTAAGAAAGGAGGTTAGTGAACCTATTTGTTATCAGATCTTGGCAGCCTTTGGTACTGAGGATATGTCCCATTAGAAAAGAGAAAGGTTGGGGATTCTATTATTACTAATGTATTAATTATCAGTTCTGTTGGCAAGAATTGCATTGTACCGTAAAACATAACTAGCTCTGAAATGGAACGTGGTATTTCATTGATGACTGAAAAGTTCCTAATATTAATTTGAAAATGCTTGGAGGTGATTAGCTTAAAGTATGCTGTATACTGAGATGTAATGTTATCTATCCAGGGAATACCGAACAGTATAAATTAAATAGTTGGAAATCAATAAGAGTCAGAAATGAGATTTCTGTTAGTGAATTAAAAACTATAGACCTCTATTATTTTTCTGCAAGAGTTGAGCAACTAACTCTTGTAACAAAAGAGAGCTAATTGTTAGTGTCTTAGGCTCTTCCCTTCCCTTGTGTGTCTCTTTAGAATAGAAACATTCTAATAAATAGAATGTTTCCATTAAATATCCTATGTATAGATAAGAAATACATTGCTGACAGAATTCAGATAGTGGCTTTAGATATGTGAAAGATATTTCCGTATATCTAGCTTCAGACAAAAACATAAATTCTATTAATTTCTGTTTCTAAAACACCTACTGCACCTACTGCATTTTCTGCAAATATACATATTATGGTGCTGTATGAAGTCTTGGAGGTACTTGTTTTCCAAATTCCACTATAAACTTATAAAATAGTCAGAATTCAACAGTGTCTTCATTTTCATGCTTAGGTGTTAGCTTGTTGAATTCAGTCTTTAGTACTAGGTTTCYGACCTGACAAAGCTACTTTAATTTTGCTGTTCACAGAACTGAGTAGAGGTTTGTCATGGAATATTAAAATACAAAATTTAATGTCTTTTTGTCTGGAAATTTTGGTGTATAATACGTGCTACTTGCCAGCTGTGTTGAGCAGTGCTTTCACTGAAGGATTTACACACAGGCCTAACATAATACTAACAAGGTGTTTGTTATTTTATCCTTTAGCTGTAAAAATATTTGAAAATTTATAAACTTTTAATTAAGGAAATAGTGTGCTAAAAGTAAACAGAAGGGTAAGATAAGGCTGTATAGCTCTGTACATTAAAGGAAAAATACATTTCTGGTGTTAAATGGTTATCAACTCATCCTAATCCAGTATCATAACTGTAGGAATGTAGCTAAAATCTCTATATTTGAAGCAGATTGTCTATTGCAGATCTAAACAACAGAAAGATAATAATGTAGGTTTATTTGGTATTGCAAACTAATAGTCAAATGCTCTGATTTCAGACTTCTCATAGCCTATCCATGTATTTTCTAAAACTAATAATAAAAAAAAAAAAAAGGCTACTAAATGAAAATCAATTGGGAGCACTGGTAAATAACATTAGAATTAATTGAATTGGGAACCATATTGTTGCTCATGAGAGGTGCTCTATAAAAGAGTAGAGTGGGACCCTGTGCCTCTGAAACCAATGGTAGCTTTTCTCTTGATTTAAGTAGGTGTAGGATTTGGCTTAGTGCCACTTCAGTTACACTGTGAGACTTTCTTATGTATTGAATTTTTTTGTTTCATTGCTTTTGGTGTTAAACTGGGGTGAAAAGAGCAGCATGAAGAGTAGATTTATGTGTTTGTTTTTGATGCTGTGTAAGGTGTTCTTTTTTTTTCTTTTTCCCCCCAGATAGGAGCTCTAGCATATCAGCAAATCAGATGGTTTTGTTTTTGTCATTTTCATTTCTTGGCTTTCTAGCTTAGTCAAAGTGTGAATCTAGGTAGTTTGTTTCACCTTGTCTAATGAGGTTTCAATTTCATCAAGAAAAAAGGTATTAGTGTCTGTCTCTCCCATGCCACCACCCCAAATGCTGTAGCAAATAAATAATTTACTATTATGGCCATGAACTTGATAACTGTTGTTTCTTTGTCTGAGGAGGATTCTGAAAACTGATAATAAAGGTTTTTTTTTTTTTTTTCCTGGCAAAGTTTCTGATGGAAGCATCTATACTATTACAGAATTACAGATTTGTCACAACGATTTAAAATGACTTGAAGGATATATGTGCTTAATTTTGTTTTGTCATCTTATTGTTCTTAATTCTTTTCTTCAAAGTCTTTTAGACMTCTTCTTCATAATGACTGATCTTAGCTTCAGTACTTATTTTGTTGCCTATCTGTAAGGCAAAAAGATCTGATATGAAATCCTCACAGACTGTGGAACAAGACGTCTAATTTATTAACACATCATTTTAATGTATGTTTTCTTAAAATCTTTTTGTCTGAGTAACTGAAAATGTACTTGTTATTGCTAAATATCCTTTTATTTTCTTACAGACAAAATCCAGAAACTACCTTTGAAGTTTATGCTGAAGTAACCTGTTCAGGAACCGGTTGTACTGGAAAAGGTACTATTTTGCCCGGGAATTCTACCAATTTTAGTCAAGAAATAGTTCCTCAGAACTGTGTATTGTGAGACAATGAGTGAACACTTAAGTATATTCAATAATATGCTGCTTTAATCCTTTAAATTGGGGCTAATAATGARAAAATTCTTCCTCTCTGAATAGGTTTGTGGGCAAATTTCTGCCTTCTTCAACTTTTTGCCRTATTTTGTCTTTTAAAATAGAAATAAAATTTATCCTTTCAAATGGTTTAATTACCTAATGCAGTAAATGCATTTTCAGGTTTGTATTCACTTCTGCATRTAGAGTATAGTTAGGTTTAAACCATAAATACTCCATACTTTATTCTGTGGAATTTGTTTTTATTCCCTCTTTTCTACATATCCACAGAAATACTCTATATCTTTTCTGAAATCTATCTTTCGTTAAGTGATGTTATCTAGAAATAAAGTTTATAAATAGCTTTTGATCTACTTGCAAGTTACTTTAACGAAGTACTGTTACGAAGTTGAGCTTATACAAATATTTTTCCATAATTTTATTACAAATATTTCTATGTTCATGTTAGAATAGTCCTGCAATCGCTACAATTAACATGTTAGTATGTTTGTAATTTTTGGATTATGCTCCCTTCCAAGCCTGATGAAGCTGATACGAATAGGCAGGAAAAGCAAAGGTTGAAATTTCTAAATCCTGGAATTTAGATCAAGATATTGTTTTCTAAGGTCAACCTCTAGAATTCTATGAAAAGGAAGGATGTCAAAACTAAGTAATCTYGATTAGTCACCATCATTGAAATAATATCCTTTTGATCCTTTATGAGAGAATAATATGTGTATTTTATAAGTAGTATAATGAACCGATAGATGGGATTTTAAAATCTCATTTATTGGACAGCTGCTCATAATCTTTGTCTATACCTATATTTCTGTTTGCTTCCTTCAACATAAGCCAAATAGCTGTAACTCTTCTTTAGTGCCAAAGCATCCCCAGGACTCGTAAACGAAATACATTTTGGGCTTGTCTTGCTGCTATGTACCATCTTGGCCATTTGATATAATTGCAGGAGCCCTTTTAATAACTAGTCTTTGTTTCTTCTCATCTGACCTGGTTCTAGTGCCAGAAAATTTGAACAAATTTGACCATAAACATTACATTGTACAGTACTAGTGTCTGGGTATAATCTTCTCTTTGAAGTTTGTTTGCATCCCCCTAGAGGGATTAATTCCCTGCTGTGGGAAGGTAGGTTAAAAAGCACTGAAACTACTTTACAGGTTTTTAATTGGAAAATTTAGTATATATTTTGTTCTATAAACCTATTGATTCTGTGGGAGTTTTACTTTAGTTCTGTGTTTTTTTAGGTTTGTGGTATATGTTTGTAGGTGCAAAATCTTTGGAAATGAGTTTTCTAGTGAGTGAAAAAAATATAAATTGCTTTAATAACTATATTTACATTTAATACATTCTGAAGTTATTAAATCTAAGTAAGTTTTAAAATTTTTTCAAACTTTTGCAACTTTTTTTATGATTAGGAGGTGTCTTTTATTCTTAGAACTCTTAGGTCAATGTATACCCAAATATTTTGTTTTTCTAAATTATTTGGTTCTTGACAATGTCATAGCTGCGTCTTAAGAGCTATGCTGTGTATCCAGGTAGATAGAATGCTACACTTCCATTCTAGAAACACAGTTCTAGAGACCTCTGTGTAGTCTTTTTTTGCCTTCTTGGTATCCRTTCTTTGCCAGGAGGCCTAGAATACCAATATATTTTAATATTATCAGAGGAGTGCATGTTAAATGGAAAGGAGCAATTGCTTTTAAGAAAATAGGGATGAAATAAAAGGGTGTTAGGAGCAACTTGTCAGGGATGTTTAAATAACTTTTTCTTCTCTTGTAATGGATTCTGAAATTAGCTAAGACGGTTATATTTGAAGTTCTGCTTCTAATGCGATAGTGCTKTTGATCATTTGTTGATCAATAAATAAAGTTATATGTTATAGTTAACTCTTAAATCAATTAGCTGATATGGACTTGAGGAAAACGAATTGCTCCAAAGCCATAAAAAATTCTAGTGTGGGAAGTTGTCTGGCTTGCAGGAGGGTAAAACATGCATGTGTTTTGTTAGTAATACAAAAATATATGTAGCAAAGAATGTTTTCCATGTAACTGTTAAATAGAAACTGCAATTAAAAACTTCAGTATATTATGCTTGCTTATCCGTTGCTTATGCTTGCTTGTCTGTTGAAATAAGAAATACTGAGTCCTATTATCAAGATGAACTCCTGCTGGACAATTATATATTCAAGTAACTTTCTCACAGCATGATTCACAGTTTTATAGTGAAGATTTGTTTGATTATTAGTCTGCAAGTGGGTGAAAGCAATGTTATACATCATCTGCTGTGCAGAGCGCTCACTCTTGGGTACCAAGACAGTTGACAGCAGAAGGAAGATAATTGTCTTGCACTTTGTCAGTAAACTGAAGTTCAACAGAGGTCCGCCAAGATGGCATGGAGCACTTGCAGTATGATCAGAGGCTGAGGGAGTTGGACTTTTTGAGCCTGGAAGAGAGAAGGGTTCAGTGGGACCTCACAGCTTTCCAGGCCTCTACATTTTTCAAGATGACAGCGCCCAGCTCTGTAATGTTCCATGGCAGCATAGGGAGAGGCAGCAGCATAAACTGAAACAAGACAGGATGCAACTGGGTATCAGAAGATTTTTTTTTTTCACCGAAAGAGCATTCAAGTATTGGGCAAGGTCAGCTGGAGAAGAAAAATTATGTAGTCTCTATCCTYGCATTTTGTCAAGATCTGAATGGATTGCAGCCTGAGTGACCTGGTCTGACCCCGCTTGGAGCAGGAGGTTGGACTACCTGAGATTCTTTCCAACCTGTATTTTCAGAAGATCTTAGTATTTTAGTTTTAAAAATGTAAACTCTAGGAGTATCSAGAAGATTTGTAGCCTTATTACAGGATAGCATCAAGAGAAAGTTTCATCAAAACCATKCAGGTTGAAAAAGCAAATGTTTTTAGAAATATCGATCATCTGTTCTCWATTGATTTGTGTATTTCTGGCACATGAAGTGATTGGAATGTTAACACGAATTCGGGAATGTGAATTTGGTTGTTGTATTTGAAAGTTGTATTTGCTTTTTGCTTTGTATATTTATAGAACTTGAGGATTTCTATTATATGCAATAAGTTTTTCTGGACTATTATGATTATTTTAGTGTTTTTGCAGGTATGACTTTACCTTGCTTGTGGTATTAATTTTTTAAATTAAATTAAAAAGTAGAAAATCTTAGATATAAGGGAATAGCAATACAGCTTATTGCTTAGCAAAAATTAGTAAGATATTTTGGACGTAACATAATTGTGTGAGTTTTGCGTCTTGCCTTCTATGTCTAAAAGGTAGCCATATTACCTGTAGCTGAAATCAGTAATTTCTTTGATGTTGGGGAGGGCAGAATAAAGTGCACCATTGCTGAGCAAGGGATGTCTAAGCTAAAGCTACTGATGTTTTAAACTTCTTTTAGTAAGTTTTGATAATGCAACCTGTGTCTTCAGTGCATGATCTTCTCTTGTTGTTTGCTGGAGTTTTATCCAGGAGATAATGAGAGACTAAAATAGAAGCTTTGTTTTATTTCAACCTCAGCTGAAAGGTTTATCATGTGTTTTACACTAAAACTCTTCTGAGAGTTAAAAACAATTCAATTGTAGTCTTAATTAAATATACATATAAGGAAAGTATAATCGCATTAACTTCTTGCAAAATAATTTTTAATTTTCAAAGCACTTCATTATGTTACAACTGAGGCAGATTATTTGTCAGAAATACTGTGTGACACATTCAAGAATCTTGTTGGACCTGACCCCAAGATCCTCTCTTGTTGGAGGGCGAAGAATTTAAATGTAACTGTCATACTGTTCCTGTAGAAAAAGAGAATTTGTTAGTCTAAAGTAACTGATCAAAACAGTCTCTAAAGTTTGAACATTTGAAAGTAAATGCTCACAAAAGTATAATTCCCACCATCAGCACCCCTGTCTGGGAGGACATAGCATGCTTTTGTGTGGGGTTTTTTTTTTGTGTGTGTGTGTGTGTTCTTGCCAAAGCAGACATTACAAAAGTATGTCAAGTCTGCAGCTTTAACATGTAGTGTACCAAAAGACCTTTCTCTCCAAGGACCTCATCTTTCATCTTTTTGTGAATGTAGTATAAATTCTTGCT